TTTCAACAAAATACAAAACCAAAAAATGACCGAGAGACTAAAGCTAACCTGCTCTAAATTCTATACTAAGTGGTGGAACAGGTTGATTACATAGGATTTTTTTGTTCCATTAGTAATGTAACCATAGCCTAATTTCTTTCAGAAAGTTCTCCTTGTACTAATTCTTTTTCTTAGGCAGCTAATTCTAGTATAATCAATAACTTCAAATCTATTTTTAATATGGATATAATGATTTTCTGAAATATCACTTTTTCAAAACATCAAATATTTTAATGTAAGAAAGCATTTATATATACATAGCAGAAAATTGTTACAAAATTTTTTTCATCATAACAAAGAAAATAATACACAAATAAAATGATTTCCCTTGAATCAATGAATATTTTCCGACCACATGGTATCTTTAATACATCTTCCGAATAGCACCAGAATGTTTTTTATCAGCACAACAGAGTGAGCTAATGCCTTTTAATATAAAGCATAGTCATAATGTAAGTTTTTCATTTATATATTACGAGACATGCAGTAATATTCCAAGATCTATCTCTACTTTTCCACATACACTAATTTAGATCCTACAATGAACCTGGCGAATTTTCACACAAGTGTGAAATAAATACTAGCACAGAAGAAGGGTGCAAAATAACCCTTTATTAACTCAAACTAAAATAACAGACAGTACGGATTTCATGCGTTACAAAAACACCATTCACTAGTGGCGAGAACTAAATGTAGACTAGAATACAAATAAAAATCTGAAAAATAAATGAGTGCAAGAACGCACTTGAAAATTACTCCTAAGAGATGGACTCGCAGAAATCTAACCGGCATGATATTAAACGGATAAGGCCAAAAGGCTTACTCGAGTGACCACAAAATAACAATGAAACGTGCGCTAGGCTAGCGAAACATGCTCTGAATAAACTGAGATAATCACATGTTTAAATAGCACTTCACTTAAATTTAAATTTACATCCTGGCGAGAGAATGTGAGGGGAAGTTTGAGAAGTTGAGAACAGGAAAACTTAAAATAAATTTGTTATGCAAATTAAGAAAAACCCTACAATATATAAATGAAAACTAATATGACTAAACTATAAATGATGAGGTAAAAATCCAATAATATTAAAAAAAAAATATTAGCATTTTTTGTTTATTACACTTTAAGTTATTTTTCTAGATAAACCATGCCATCTCCAATTTAGTTAATGCAATGCACAACCAGCTTTTGGATTCTTCTCTCACAATAATGCATTTCCCTATCCATTCAGTAAATGTTAGATTTCCCTTTTTATGACTAGCTGGATTTTAGGGAAGATAATGCACTTATTTTCAGATAAATGAATTAACAATGGCTTGAGTTTGACCAAAGGTACACTCTCAGAAGCAAAATCACACCTTTAGTGTAATCTTCACTTTATTCTTCACTTATTTAGGCTTTAACTTTGAATAGATTCACGTTTTTTTTTTTTTAATTTCACAGTAGATTTTTGAGTTAATTTTTCAGTTTAAGGCAAATTTTCCATAAGAAAATTTCATACTTATTTCAAGACACTATTGAATGCGATTTTTTTTTTTTTTTTTTTTTTTTTTTTTTTTTTTTTGTGTGTGTGTGTGTGTGTGTGTGGTTGAAATCAATTGTTTAATGAAATATCGCACATAAAAATTAAAAAAAAAAAAAAAAAAAAAAAAAAAAAGAACAGCAGAAGAATGACACATGTTTTAGAATAACATAAAAGTACTTTCAAAAATTTTTGGGAGAACGAATTACTTCTATAAAGTATTTGCAGCATTTTGTGTAAAATAAGTTAAGAGACAAAATTTATCTTATAAATATGCCTTGTAATATTTTCATATTTTATAATGAATATATGATTGGTAAAATATTTTGCCATCTAAACAAATAAATAAAGTACATGTTACAATCTTACAAAAGTAAATGCATATTACACTTATACTGTAATTTTGTAGTTATTTATAAATATCAGTATTATAGACATTTATCAAATGCACAGTGGGAAAAATAAAATCTCAATAAAAAAGATTATGACCTGATATTGCTATGGCCTGGTAACCTTGCCCCACTGCGTTCAAACTGAAGAATTTTGGTAACCTGCCTTGCACATGCATTTATTTTAAGTAAATTCAATGCCATTTTGAGACAAGACATACAGACTACAATAGTAAGTTCTTTTTTAAAGTTGAATTTCTATTATTTTCTACTTTTTAAGTTGCATTTCTATTAAGTAAGTTCAATGCCATTTTGAGACAAGACATACAGGCTACAACAGCAAGTTCTTTTTTAAAGTTGCATTTCTATTAAGTAAATTCAATGCCATTTTGAGACAAGACACACAGACTACAATAGTAAGTTCTTTATACACATTTAATTTTCAGACTTTTTTTTCCATACTTGGTTTAAATTTTTACAATACCAAAAATATTATGATTTCTTTATTTTATACCAAAAAATTTTTAAAGTTAAATTAGATAGGATTTCAAGTTTATGAGATAGCCTTTTTTAATTGTAAGCTTGACTCACCCGTAAGTGTTTCATAACTTATATGAATAATGTTTTCAGAGTTTTTAGGTACAGTTCCACTAGTTTTTCTTTCAATTTATTATATTTTTGTATATGCTTTAACTTTATTTTGGTTATTTTGGGCATTTTTACTTTCATAAAATTTTTAGGTACTTTTCCGTTTTGGCAGCGCAGGCTTTAAAGTCGCCAATAATGATACAACTGATGCCAAACATAATATCCTCACTGATAACCTTTTATGCCTCATTTTCAAAACAATTCACAGCTATTTCTTATCAGATTGATTGTTTCTTTCAATACTAGCATACAGTTACATAGAATATTTACCAAATAGTTTAATTTTATGCCCTATGGCAATTCACTATAATTAAGTCAATTAGGATGCAATCACACAGCTCACCAGAAGGCGAAAATATAGAAAAGGCAAGGGTTAAATTCATCCATTCTAATCAGAATGCACTATGGAGTAATGCACTATGGTTTTACATAACTTCTGAATAAGCTATTCGTACAAATTGAAATAATTCTTGCATTTAAACTTGTATTCAAAATTAAGATTTAACTTGAAATTAATGTAGAAAATTAGATTTACTGAGAGAATTAGATTTATGTAGCGTAGTTTACATGAGATGAGATCACTTGGAGTCACATGATATGAAAAGGCAAATCAAGATGTTGAACCATGAAAGCATAATAAATTCTTAAATTAATAGTTTCTTACAAATTTATTGTCTTTATTTATTGGATTTTTTACAAAATTTTAAACGATATTAAAATGTTTATGCCTTCAAAATAAAATATTCTTAGAACTAACATTTGTTATCATTTTTTATGTGTATTCTGTATGTTGTCGCCAATAAAGTCTACTTGACGTGATTTGCGCCGGCGAAACAGAAAAGTATCAATTTTTATTTTTACTGTAATTTTAGCTCAAAGGGTGAGGATAACATGCCATGGAAGCTCTTCAACAATATAAGACAACTCGAGAAATAATATTTAAAAAAGAAAATTAATTTATGATTTAGAGTCTTACAATGCCGAGAGGAATAAAACAAGTTATTCAGCACTCGTTAATCAACCTGATTTAATGTTTTAAATACTTACCCCTTGACACTTTCTGTTTGAAACATTAAATGGGGGAGATTGAGTTACTATTTTTTCATAGCTTCTTTAATTTTAATGATTACACCACTGTTTTAACATAGTTTAGATTACAGTCTCAGACTACTCTAAATTTTCACTTTTATGTCATCTTAAATATTCCCCATCCTACACCTTTTTCCTCATACAGTCAAAAGTCGGTTAATCCAGACTCGTCGGGACTTCAGCGATTCCGGATTATCGATTTTTCCGGATTACAAGTCATCAGTTTAAATCTGGTAAGATGGCATGGAGAAATTATAAAATTAAAAATATGAAACCGTAATTTATGAAATAAAGAACAATTATAATCTAAAGGATATCAAAATTTTACAAAAAAAAAAAAAAAAAAAAAAAAAAAACTTAATTTTTATTTGTTTACTTTTAAACATTTCTTTCAATGTAAGTTGTTTAAGTTGCTTCGTTTTTTATGTGATAATACATTCTCTTTAATTCTATAAACAGACATAATTTCTTGTTCAGTTACTAAGTTCCGCTGTTCAAGTCCTATAATTGCAGTGTCGAGAATACCGACTAATTCGTCAAATCAAAATTTTTTCGTTTTCAATAACCTCTGTCACCTTCTTCGCTATCGGAAGCGAATTATAATGACGAGGAATTTGATTTAAATCATATCAAAGATGGAGTACATCGAGATGAAATACTACATTTAGTAAGGAATTATAAGCCAAATAAAATAAAAACATCTGCCCTGAAGATAAGGATAGTGCTGACAGATCAACTTCCAATTCATTGCGCGCCACGGTGTTAAAGATGAACAAAGTTTAGATAAACAAACGTTAAAGTTTAGATAAACAAAGGATATGCCTTTATCCATTTTTTGCAGCAATTCTACTTTTTGTTTAATGGACTTCAAAACATACTTTCGCTTTGTAGATCCTTTACATATTAGTAAATATATATCAGAAATTCTATTTGACATAATCGAAAGTTCAAGCTAACTTATAAAATTGCTCTAACAGTCTGCAAAAAATAATAAGCCGAATCCAATTCGAAGATTAAGGAACAACTCAATCTGCAACATTAACTGAATTAGATAATTTTAGCTAATAATTCTTGATTAGCTTATACCTTCCTTTATACATTAAACACACATTCGTAAATGTATTTTGAGCATGCGCACATGCATATTCGCAGCCGTAAAGGTCTTCTGTGCATGCGTCAACGCAACGCATGCGTAGAAAGTTTGTAGCTTTGAGGTCCGGATTATGGGTGTCCGAATTAACGACTTTTGACTGTATAGAATAATCAAAATTTCTCTTCCTTTTGAATTTAATCTTATATGTACGACACTTACTATTCTGGTTTAGCAGGAGGTAAAAATTCAGGAGGTGCGTAACTCGATTCCATTACCAACCACCTACAAAAATTACCAAAAAAAAGTTATATGAAAAGTGTACAGTTGTTATGTATCATTAGAAAAAAAGTAAAATGTTTCAAAAATAGATAAAGCTAATAGTAAGCAAAATGTAATGACTAAATTAAAGTACTTGCAAAATTAACAGGTCCAAATTAAATTCGCAATCCAAATTTACAAGAATTCTTAATTTATTCATTTAGAATCTGTACTCATTTCTACCAGCATTATCAGAAGCCATTATTAAAATCATAAATGAAAAAAATCCTGAAATGTAATATAAACAGTATAACAATATCTGTAAGGGTTGGCTATATGTCTTTAAAGTATTACTCTTTCTTTTCTTTTTTTTAAATCCAGTGAATTACGATATCAATTTTGAATTTATTCAATATTTGCTTAAGATGGTAATATTCACTGCCTGATTTTTAGATGCTGGCCTGAGAGGATAAAGTTTTTAAAGAACACAATTAGCAGAAATTAAACATTCCCCCCTTTTTTACTTCCTTGTACGAAGAAGTAAAAAGGAAGTTTTGTAATTGCGAAAAGTTGCAGGCAGCATATTTCAAGGAAAATATACATTTTGACCCCTATCGAATGCAATTTAACGATGTATTTGCGCGATATCTGTACCTAAGGATAGAATAAAAGACTTGTTTCCTCCAAAAAAATTATAAAACTGTTTTAAAATTAATTCTGAAGAGAATTTTTTGTGGCATCTGTACGAACATATCTCGCATAACTCAAAAACGAGTAGCCTCAGAACATTGAAATTTTGTATATAGGACTGCTATAACATGTAGATGTGAACCTCGTATTTTGGTTGCAATCGGCTGCACCAAATGTATATAAATATATTTTTATATATATCCACTATGTTACCTGTTACCCCACCCGGCTCAGTGATCTCAGTTTCTTTACTCTTATATGTTTGTAAATTGTACATTTTTTGCTTTAAAAATGATTGAATTATGTTGTTTTTATCTTCCGGTTAAGGTTTTTATGCCTTTAGTAAATCTGTGTGCGATTTTTTTTAGAATTATCAACAATTTTAAGTTTAAGTGCCGCTAAGCCTTTATTTTGATGGCGGCCATTGATTGTTTACATTTGAAAGAGCAGCCAATCTAGAGAAAATTAGCTTCGCAACAACAAAGATAACGCCTTCATTTATTATTGCCAATTAAATCATGCTTAATCCTTTTTGGAATTTTTTCGAGGAAATAAGTGTTTAAGATTTACTTCGTAATTTTTAATATAGTTATTTTGAGTTTTTATGTATTTTTGCCTTCTCGCGAAGTGAGAACTGAATTAATTAAATGAGAAATACTCAATTGTCTGTGAAAAACTGTTTCTTTTTTGTTTTGTTTGCTTAATTTCTTTTATACATCATTCTAGCTTTATTATAGTATTTGAATAGAACAAGTGGCAACGATTAGATAATTCTGTTCTTTAAATGATATAAATTTTGTGCATTATGAGTTATAATATGAATGAAATATAATACACTTAAGTGAATCTAGCGCCAGAGTGTCACTATGGTAAACAAATACTAGAGTGAATTTTAAAGAATGCATTTATTCTATTGTAGTTTATGCGCTATCGGCGAAGTAGATTTAATTCAATCCAATAAGTTTAAATGAAATGCAAGAAAAAATGTGTATAATTTAATATTCCATACAAGGAAGTCGTGTGGTGTACACATCAGATTTTTTAATTCATGCAGTTCAGAAAGAATTAAAATGACTCCCTTTCAAATATGTTTTACTTTTATCCCATTGAAATACAGTTCAAGGCAAAAAGAAATTTTATATGTTCAAAGAAATCTTTTATGTCATTTATTCACACATTTATTTATAAGAATAAAAGGCAGAAATTCTTTTACATTCTATTTTTTTTCAAGATAATTATTATTTTTCATTTATACTATATTACTTACTGGCAATTGATTCTCTGTCCCATTGATATAATACCACAGCAATGGTTATTACTAAGAACAACTGCTTCAGCTTTCCGTTTAAGATAGTACATTCCTTCATATACAGCACATAACCTTAAATAAACAAAGAAATAAATATGATATTGAAAACTATTAATTTCCTCATATTAATTTAATCAGACATTTCCATTACATGTTAAAAATATGAAAGCACACCCTTAGAATAAAACATGATTAATTTGAACTTAATGATTCAAATTTCATTCTTAACCCTTCGACGCGCACAATATTATTTTTATAATTTTTTAAACTAAAAACTCTAGAAATTGAATATTATGATCGTAGAGACAAATAATATATGAATTAAAAAAAATCTACTCTTGCCCATTGTTCTGTGGGTGGTGGTCGCACCGTGAAACCACCACGACTCTAGGACTTTGAAACTTACTGAGGTAGTAGGAAAAAAAAAAACTTACATTTCTCCATGTGCATTTCCAATAAATGATGAAATTTCTGAATTTAAAAAAAATGTATTTAAGAATTGCATTATATATAATTTTGTTAAATTATTTTACAAAGTAAATTACCAAAAAATAATAAATAAATAAATAAAAAAATAAACATTTATGTAATTTTTCTATAGCAGTAAAAATATAAATACCTACATAATAAGGACATTTGGTTAAATGGATTAAAAAAATCTCAGTAAAATAAGGTTAGAAAAAAGACTCAGTGTTTTTTTTTTTTTTTTTTTTTTTTTAATTTCAAAGAACAAATTTTTTTGTGATACATTTTAAAGCATGTTTTGTCTTTTGGTACATGCATAGACCCACATTGCACATTTCGCACAGGTATCTTCTACGAGGTTTCTTCCTTGTGCTACAAAATGTACACTGCCTGGATCTAAATTTCACTGGTATATGTCCAGCGTTATTTAGTTTATTTTCATCTGGCACACGAAATTTGTGGTTTTTTATGTTCGTGGGGGTGGCGGGCTTGGTCTTTTTGGCTTTTGTACGGATCATTCGCTTCCCATTCATACTTATTTTATTCGTATTTCGTCTCAAAATATTCAGGAAATATTTTTAATTTAAATAAAACTTTAAGGGATTTCTATTTTTAATTATATCAAAGCATATTTACATTAAATTTAAGCCACAGGAAATAATTTATAAAATCACAATACTTGCTTGGGGAAGCAAGTGTGTTGAGGTCAGAGCGCGACCACCGGGCCTCTAGAGCATTGTGACACAATGCTCTAGTAGGGCAATGGTCGTGCACTGAAACCACAAAGCAAATGCCATACATATAGAGGGTTTTTTTATATACACAGTTTAATTAATGCTATTTTTTATTGTTTATGATAGAAATCATGATGTACGATGAATAACTTTTGAAATTTAAAGTTTTGTATATTAATAAAAGGAAGTTATTTTGTCTCATGAAAACGAATTTTAAAAGGCATCTGATTTGAAGTGCTAAGACCTAAAACATGTATGATTCTGAAGTCATTTTGTGTTATTTAGAGGTAAAAGATCAGTAATCAATCGATTTTCACTCAAAAATTTCGGAAAGAAGAGGAGGAAAAAAATAAAAAAACTGATGGTTTCAGGGTGCGACCACCACGTGTCAAAGGGTTAAACTTATGCTTATTACATGCAAAGCATTTATGAATTTACAAAATTTGTGTTTTTATATATCACTGCATACATTTAAGAATCTAAAATTTTAAAATTGATTTTAAAATTCTCTGAATTAAATTTAAATGAACAGGTGCATTAAAAATGGATATGAATATTTTTAGATTATGTTCAAACAAATTTATGAAAATTTAATTTCTCTATGAATTAATAATACACCTTATTGAATATAATACTTTGAGTAAGGCCTATTTTAGACATCTCCTCTTACAAAAATCCTACAAGAAAAGGGGAATAAGCTAGAAAAGATAAAACAGCTTAATAATAGGTGAGAGAGATGAATTTAACTTTAAAACTGGCAAAAATTCAATCTTCAAGTGGCATTAATTTCATTGGGGGCAGGGAGAACATTAAGTGCAGTTCAAAGGAAGGTAAAATTTTTCTTTTTCAAGAATAAAATCTGTGGAAACATCAGTCTTCAAATTTAAGAAATAATGTGATTCTAAACCTAGGTATATAATAGCATATGGTTTTAGAAACATATTCAATAACATATATTCATAAAAATTATCAGGTGAAATATATTATAAACCAAATGTATTTAAAATTATATCAAGTGTATGTATTTTTAAAAATAAAAAATTAAATTATTAAAATGTGTATTTATTACTTTTAAACTGCTTAGGTTTTTAAGCAGTTACTGACTTTAAATTTGAAAGATAAATAGACCTTATGCTTTGCTAATGCATACACATGGGTAACAAATGCAAGGTAGTGCAACATAACAGAAAATAAGGGAACATATAACTTTTATGGAAACTATTTTAGAATGTGCTACTACCTCGAATGAATCCAATTACAAAGTGTCAGGCTTAAATTCAATTTAAAATTCTTTCAAAAAGAATTTCATCATAATCAAACAGCAAATTTTTAATCACATGTTCAAAAAAATTTCCAATATTATGGACAATTATAAACAACTTGCATGTAACAAACAGCCTTTAAAGAAAATTATTTTTGTTATAATACATATATAATTATTCTATATAGAAAATTGAATGGCTGTTTTATTAATTATAGCCATTTAATAAATTAGTTCTTCTTGAGTTACAAAAAACAACCTGAACAGGTAAAGAATAGACTCAGTAAATTCCTAAAGCAGTTCTGTAGGTACATTAGCTTATTTGTCTACAACAGTATCATGAGGTTTACTACAAGCTATCAAATAGAAAAGAGATCACTAAAGCATTTATGGCACTTCAAAGGGGTATTACTAATTCTGCTTATAAACAAAATACTATGCAATACAAATAAAGATCCACAAAAATCTGTTATAGTATTGAATCATTATTTATAATCAATGCAACATGGCAACTGTTATGACTGCATTAGTAATCAAGTCTTTCTTTAATCTTTTACTTTAGTCAGCTGTGATGTCAGATTAGTATTAAGGATAGTGACATTACAGTTATATCTAAACAGTGCCTGAGCATGAAAGTTTAAAAGCATCATGACTTCACTTACTTCACAGTCACATCTAATTTTTCTTTTAGCATAGATCCTGAATAGAAAGGATGGAATGAGAACACCATAATAAAGAAATGACATAGAATGATTTTCAGAAAAATGGGAAAGTCTGAAGGGGGAAAAACTGGTCTGGTAAAATTGCCATTCCAGAGTGATGTCTTTGAAACATGGCTTAACGTTTTTAATTTAAAAACAATAAACATATTTTTCAGTGATTCATATCCTTTCCTAATTTTCAATTTAAAAAGTTTTAATTAATATATTTAACTGATGTCATCATAAATTCAACTGATAACTCATTTGAGCATTTTCATCAGTTTTATTTATCAGTTAAATTTAGGCAAAAAACAACCTTTGATTTACATGGATTTTATATAAAACTCTTATTTTGAGGATAATTTTGTTTTTCGAAAGGAAAAAAAAAAAACTTCCAATATGGCAGATTGCCTTTATGAGCGATGTTTAAGTACAGTATCATCACACAAGAAACTGTGGCTTAATGCTGTTTGAAAAAATGCACCAATTAATGATTCATTACTATTCCAGAGATACTAACACATATTTATATTTTTCAAAGCATTTAGTGATATGATATTTTTGGGTGCAAATAATGACACATTACGACCAGCTAAATAAAAGTCATGGGAAATTTTAAGAATAAAGTCAGGAAAAATACATAATAAATTACATTACTATTCCAGAGATACTAATGCATATTTATTCAGTGTGTTGAGTGAAATGATATTTTGGAGTGCAAATAATGACAGATTAAGATCAGCTAAATAAAAGTCATGGGAAATTTTAAGAATAAAGTCAGTAAAAATATATTATAAATTGGACTAATAGAAACATGCAGAGGATCAGGAATCTTGCAGCTAAATTGGGATAGTTGGCTTCTCTCCAATATGATGTTAAAATCAAAGCAAATTATTGGTTTTGCCTTCCTGATGGCTAACACATGAACATGCATTCAATTAATTAAACAATGCTGAAACACAGTCATTTGACTTCCCAATATAACTTTGATTACTGAAATGATTAATTTCATTGAGACTTGCAACTGTCCTTTAACATATATGACAGCCATCAAGATAAAATATTAAGAACAGCAAAAATTATTTTTTTAATGCTTTGCACTTTAAAAATATTCATTTATAAAATGCTATATGCTAAAATTATAATATTATTGCCATCCATGCACACTCTTATTTGATCACACGGAAATATTCAAATAATTTGACAATTTCAGCTATTCTGCATAAACAACTTTTTTTTACTATAGATATTAATAAGTTTCAACAAAATAGTGTACAAAAACTTATTCAACAAATTCAATATTTACATCTTCCTCAATGTGAATTTATTTGTTGGATAAAAACACTTTGAAAGACTCACATTTACATAATTTTTACTCTTACGCTGTAAATTCAACAGGAAAATCCTGGGCTAACATTCAAGACACATGAAAAACATTTTGTCAATTGCCCCATAAAGAGGTTGTGGCAAACTTCAGACTGCAAAGAGGCCATGATTGCATAGTACATCATCTTAATAAAATTGGCATCCTTCCATCTAATATATGCCAAATTTGCAATTCAGGCATCACGAATGCAGAGTATCTTCTTATATGCCCAGAACTAGATAAAAAAATCTCAGAAAAGTGGTGAGATAAGTAAACTATACTGGAATGCCAGAGCTTTCATGAACTCCTTGTAAAGACTACATCTCTTATGTTCCTTTTTTTGTTGTATAAATTTTTAACTTTTTACTTTTGCTCCCATGTTCATTTAATCTGATTCTTATTTAATAATTCTTACTAATTCTTATTTAATAATTCTGTTTGTTCTTTTTTACTATTTATCATTGTTCTTGTGTGATAGAGCTGTTTTATATGTTTGGATTGATTGTTCCAATAAAACTATACGTAGCAACTTTTGTTTTTTTTGTTTTTTTTTTTTTTTTTTTTTTTTTTTAAGAACCTAAAGCTTTTTAAATCAGTGACATTTAGAAATAGTGGCTAAAATTTAATCTTATCCATATGTTCATGAGTTAACATGATTAATTAAAATTCAAAATTTTAATAAAATATTTTCTACCATATTCTACAATAATAGTAATGTAATGACCATATGCAATTTTTCAAATATAAAACTGACATGTATACAAAATTTATTGCAACAAATAACCCTACAGCTAGTTTATACAATATTGAGACTTCCATTTACTAACCTGCAAAAGCACTGCGGTAATTCCGCACTTCCATAACAAGTACATAGAAACGGGCTTTTCCCATATCGTCCTAGTGATTCAAGAAACTTTTGTGAAGCTTTGAGGCCCTACAAGTTAGATTTATATTTTAAAGTAGTTTTAGCAAACAGTTACAAAGATAAAAGACACTGGCAGTGCAAAATACAACTTTAAACCAAGCAGAAGCTTCATATTTTTAATAGAAAGAAAGGAATACAATATAACATTTAATATAATATATTTATGCACACATTATGGCAACAATAATATAGTATGCAGCCATATAAATACTAATATTTTGTAAGTATGCATGATGTTTACAATAAATTATATTCTCTGGAGGAAAATTCAATAAATTCTGAAGTGATTAGGGAACTTGGAAGGGGATGTAAAGAGAAGAATTTACAGATACAGAAAAATTCTATTTACATTTTTAAAGCAGTTGTACTGAGTATGTTATTATACATACGCATCATATAAAATTACTATACTATAATAATAATAAATATAATTAAAATCACAAAAAATCTGATATTGGTAGTGTGACTGACTGTTAGCAGAGTGTATTCATTTTCTGTAAACTCTCAATTTATATTTAAAATAATCTGTAATCACCCTCACTTTATTTTTAAATTGACTTAATTTTCCCCCTTTTCTCTGGATCAATGTGAGAATCTATAACTTGTAATTTCACAATTTACTGAAAAAAATTAATTTTTATGCTATGATTTTTAATGTTCTTTGTAATATTCATCATTCAGTTAAAACTGCAAAATTTCACTTATTTCCATAACATAATTTCTGTGTATTCATAATTCTTAATATAACATATAATTCTTAATCACGCTTACATTTTATTATACAGAATCAAGTACAAAAGCGTGATAAACTAGAAGGATAGTTAATAGGAATACTTGACAAGGCAATAACAGTTCTTCATGTCCTAAAGAATAACTGTAATAAGCTTTGAAAAAAGCTTTAATTTGCTTCAAAATAAAAAAGAGAAGAGTTAATCAATTCAGAATTGATGAGAATGAGATTATACAATTTACTTATAAATTACTGCTAGAAAAATCCAAGGCTTAGTATAGAATATTCAGAGTTTAGAATACTGCAAAAAGATATACGAAATTGGAGCATCAAATCTCTAGTTAACAGCATCTTTAAACAACGATTAATAAAATAAACACCAGTGCTGTATCACATGGCATATATGATCTTTGATACAACCCCATAAGAAAAAAATCCCATTGGGCTACATCAGATAACAGGTACAGCATAGAAGAAAAACATAGTTATTTTAAAAAGCACATCTAATCCAGTAAGCATAAATGCCCTCATAAAAATGTGGGACAGCCCTATTAAGTCCCTGTTAGCTTCTTATAATCATGGCATTAGTCACAGCTGCAGCATAGCCAGTAGACTACAGCATAACATTTCACTCTGAGGGGAACCAGTTTATATATTTTTGAGCAAACAGCTCTAATAGTTTCAGATATGAAGATTTTCCATGCTTCAAATGCACACATTGTGATGGTTCATTCTGTCAGACATCTGAAACATGGCCTTGTAACTAAAATGCCCTTTCTCGACATAAACATCTTTCCAGTTTCTCTTGGAAATCCACATGATAACAAAGATAGTGAATATGGTTTTAATATCTAAAACAGCTTAACTTTATACTGCTGTAATTTGATACAGAAATGCATGGCATACAGAAATCTGAATTACGTGAAAGAACCTGTTACAGATACTGACTAGGAAATAATCTTTACAAGCTCATATCCTCTTTCCTGCGATATTTATTACAGTTACTGTACTATAAACTTTCAAAATTCTGTAAGGAATTATGAATCACTTGGCATAACAATACACAATATTTTGACAGACAGATGATATAAATTTAGATATCAATAAACAGTGTGTGGAACTGCAAAAGTATTTTCTTTTGTAGTTTTCTTACTTACATTTTCTGCTCTCTAGCTTATTTTAAATATAATCAATGTCCACAATCTATACTTATCAATTATCTAGGTCAGGGTTTCTTAAACTTTCTGGTGTGGGAACCCCCTAATATTTATGAAAATTTTAAGGGACCCCCATAAGCACTGCGCAAATCCAACACATGTGTGAGTGAAACTATTAGTTTCTTCACTTGCACTGTAATATACTATTGCACTTTTAAGGTCATTAAATTTAATTTTTTACAGTAAAATAAATATTTCTATTATTAAAAAAATGCATCAAAACGTTTTCGTTTTCTTCTTTGTCTGTTTTGTCTTATCCTTATATATTTTTGGATACATTATTATGTAAAAATATTTATTAATTGTAAACTTACTATAATAAGTTAAAGAAATATCAAAATTGCTAAAATTTTTGGTGACCACCCTACTGAAGGTCCTGCGACCCTAATTGGAATTGCGATCCACAGTTTAAGAAACTCTGATCTAGGTTTCTGTTAACATCAGGTTGTTAAAGTTAAGTTTTAAAAAGGTAATGTGTCTAGGTTTACAACAAATTGTGAAGTTGGTCATCTCTAAGCCTAATATTGCTCAAGGATCAAATGAATTTCTAAATAATTAAATAAAATTAGATAGCAAAATATTTTACATGTAGAGTAGACATAGACAATATGACAGGATAAGTAATCATACTATTCAGAAGATTAAAGGAATGCACATATGATGTAAATTCAAAAAGGATTCAAACCTCTAACGTATTACATGATTCATCCACCATTGCAATGGCATGAATAATATAATGTTCAACATTTGGAGTTAACTTCTTAGATTTTAGAAAATCCACAAATAAGCCATTCTCGAAACCTAAAATAATATAAAAGTAAAATGAAATTCTAGAACATATAAAAACAAGTAAACAATAAAGAATTTTTAATTACTAACCTCTATATTCTTCTTCTTGTTCTTCAAACTTTAGACAAAATGTTAAAAATTTCATCAGCATTCTTTTCTCCACAACTGTTACATTTTTGGTACTAAATACATCAGCTCGTGAGCAAGGAACCTGAATAAAAATCAATAATATATGACAAAAAGGGATGAGGAGTGCACAAATTCATAACAGAAAAGATTAAAGTGATAATATTCCAAATTATAACACTGTGAACATATACTTTTTGTTACAAGAAAATTACAATTAATAATTTGCCACACATTTTTTTTAAACAATGTTGATTGAAGAAAGAGCAATTTAGGCATCAGAAAAAAAATGCAATGCCAATAATTATTAAATTACAATCAATTCAGTTAAAACAAGAAGGGGAACCCCCAGAAAAAAATACTCAGATGAGTTACTATGCCTTCTTAAGAGTGTTTAAAAAGGATTGCAAACCTAAATATCTCTTGTATGTTGGGGAAGCAGGCATTTTTTTTTCTTAAAAGAAAGTTTCAATTTTAATCAGAAAATTCCAAATGAAGCTCCAATTTCCATTCAGCAAATTACTTAATAATTAAAAATTCACAAATTAAAAAAAAAAAAAAAAAAAAAAAAAAAAACAGTTTTCAACCAGTAAATTTCTTTATTACTAAACATGTTTTAAATTTTTTTTAGTCTAATAACATATGAAAACTTATACTGAAATTTGCCAAAATTTTATAACTTACGCTCATTTCACCTGAAGGAAAAAAAAATACTGTTTATTCATCACGAAAAATTAAAATTAATTTTCAAATTTTATATTTCTACAAATACTAATTTGAAATTTGAAGCAAAATTTTTAAATTAATGTCCTTTTAATGTAATAGGTAATTTAAAAAAATTATTTTAAAACTTACTAAACATAGCAATGTCTTGCAAAATCATGCAATCAAAATTTTAACTAGAAATACCTCATGTAAATGTTGATAATAAGTTGAATGTTATTTTTGTTTGGCAAATCAGTAACAGGAAAATTTTTTTCACAGACAAATTTTTCCTACACGATATGTTCAAATTTTATACTTACTGACATGAGACCAAAACTGCCACACCTTATTTGACTCATTGTAAACAGTTTATGGATTTACAATCAACTACTCAAATGATCTTTAGCTCAGCAATCATTTTGAAAGATCCTAGTTTTATTTTTTTGCAAAACAATAACAAAACGGTTGAGTTTGAAAACAAGCTAAAATAGAAAAAGGAATCAGCATAGCAGGTAAGAAATTCGGGTGCTACTTTGGTAGACGGTTGCACGGATTTTTGGCGATTTACTTTGGCACAATTGTTGACGCAGTTTTTACAATTGTCAACCATCTTGAAAAACGATGTTTTTACGTTATTTTACACACAGTAAAGTATTCGAAACTTTAAAAAAATAAATATCGTTAAAAATAATGTATTAATTTTTGGTTGAAAACATTGTTTTTTAAGATGGCAGGCAAATGTAAATAAATACCTTAACTACGAGTATAAAATACTAAAGGTTAAATTATTACTTTCATATAGCACAGAAATAGAATAAAAACACTGCTATAAAAACTTGCGCCAACGTTTAATTGGATTAAAATATTATGTAAATTGAATATTGAATTAAAAACCATCATACCAACATTTAAAAGAATTAAAATATTACTTAAATTCAAATACTTTAAAATAAGTAAATAAGAATTCTTCGTACACTAGAGCTAAAATGACAGCAATTAGTTTATTGCTGTTAAAAAAGGAGGAATGTCTAATACTTTTTTTTACCTTTTACAGTGGTTATTTCTTCCACCGTGACCACAATACCATATACGGCTGTCCTCAGAATCAGCTTTTCTAACGATCTTCACATCTGTGATCCACATTTTTCTCACTTCATTGAAGAAGCAATTAGCGAGGTTTCCTCCAAAAATTTAAAATAAATTTCCTCTGACCCTTGTAGCAATTTATAAATAAATCTTTGATTAGGAAAGCCAGGTTGGCCAAAATAAGGTCTCAAAGGACAATTTTTTTATTCTGATACCAATAATTCTTGGTACTTACCAACAACAACATTAATCTTTGAAAGGGGCATATCCGTTTCCTATGAAATCTAAGGCATTCGAAGAGATGAATAATAATATTTTAAAATGGCTCAGTAATGCACAAATATTCAGTAACCAGTCAGGAAGGCTGATTACATCATGCCTAGAATTAAAATTATTTAAATAATCATACATAATAAAATCATTTAAAAAATGCAAAATTAAATTGTATTTTAATATTTAACACCCATAAATGATGTTTAAAACATTAGATTAAATTTATAGATATTAAAACCAATTACATTTAAAGCAAGGTGATGTCCCTGATTACACCATCCACAACATAAATTATACAAAATATCATAAACAATAAAATTTTTATTTTAAATAAAAATGCAAAATTAAATTGATTTTTAATATTTAGAAGCCATAAATAATATTTAAAACATGGAACTTATGCATAATAAAATGCATTATTTTTTAAATAAAATGACAACAAAGTATCGGTTACCATAAATAACTTCTGCAGCAATGGGTTTACCATATGTACTATCGCTCGCCCAAAAAAAATTGCCAAAATCCGTGCAACCATCTACCAAAGTAGCACCGAAATTCGTATACTCATCCTTTGCTCATATTTTAATGTACTTTTGCTGTGACAGTTTTTTGGCCCTACTCCAGCCTTTTCTGAATCTATTATACATGATATAAAATACAATTTTTATCGTCCGTACTTTAACTATTGTATGTAAAGAAATTTACTGTAATGGGTCCTCATGGAATTTCTAATTCCATGTAGGGAAATTTCTCTTTCAAAATCTTTTAAGAACCTTTTCACTTGAAACAATGCAAATTTCTATTTTATCTATTTCTATCTATTTTAAAGCACATGCATTAAAATTTTGCACATGCACACAGACAGACACTATCTTGAAGTGTTCTTTTTGCATCATGTGATGAAAATGCTTTAAAGAAAGGCCCATCACATCACCAGCAGCAACTGAGAGTCTAGCCAGTAAATCCTCATTAGACTCAATAACATTCCAACAGATTATACTCTTAATGCTCTCCTCACAGAAGAAGAAAGTTAAGCATATCAAATCTGATATATGAAGTGGCAAAGGAACATGTGCGTCCTATCCAGCTAGGTAGTTCTGCGATATCTTCCCCTGTGCACATCATGCCTGCAAACATGGAACAATACATTGTCACACAGTCCCTAATTAATACCTCAGATGTTTGGTGATTAGGTAGCAGTCTATTTAGGAACCATTCTCTGTATATTCTTTGAACAATTCCACAGATAAAATGTATGTTCATGATTGCGTGCATCTGTGTAGTGATGCATACCACTCAAACTATGCACCAGCAATGATGAATTTCGTCAGCAGATTATTTTCACGTACCATTCTCAACAACACACTGCCACCATAACACATCATTTCTGTCCATATATTCCAACCCAAATTTTGCTTATTTAGATCTCCTTTACCTGTTATATTTTTGCCAGAGAATTTGAAATTCCAATGCATGTATAAATTTATGTAAAAATTAAATTATGATCAAAAATCAATTTATTGTAATAAATTATATAATAAATTCATATACAGTCAAAAGTCGTTAATCCGGACTCGTCAGGACTTTGGCGGTTCCGGATTATCGATTTTTTCAGATTATAGATTGTTGGAAAATATAGCTTATTTTAAACCTTTTACTGCATCATCTCTCTTCCTAGAAATGTTTATTTAGTTTAGTTCTTATTTTAAAGTAATATAGTAGTTACTTCTACTTCTTTTTCTTGCTGCCACTGTTTGCATTGAGAACGAGCTGTTTCAACCTAATTGAGATGCAAAAACGAAACGTGATGTTACGTCATCTGAAAAGCCGATTCGTGCCGATAGCTGATTGGTTGCCGTGAGATGACGTCATTCCTACTTCTGCTATAAGTATCTCGCGTCGCTCTGGCTCAACCCCCTTCTAGTTCCTGCTTTCCTGGCACTTGAGTGAGCGGTTTCCAGCCCCTTCAGAAGGATGCATGCAGTCCGGCGAATAAAGTGCCTTGGTTCCGGTTTGCGGTATGGCTGTTCCTGAATGAGTTCCTTGGTTCATATCCATAAGATCCAGAATAAAGTTCCTTGGTTCCAGAGGCTACCATATGAGTGACTGCTGTGGGCGGCATCCATGTTCTTCAATGAAGGTGGCAATTAAAACACGTGAGCGGCGATTCCTCGAGCAAACGGAGTTAGGCCGGTTTTAAGTGTTTTCAAGAACTTGATTTAAATTTCAGGTGTTTTTCTCGACCATTGATTATGGACTTATTGAATGTGTAGCCAGCTTCATTTTTAGGCCGCATAATTACTGTTTAGGACATTTTGTTTGTATTGAATGCCAGTGTTTTGGAGACCAGGTAAAAACATTATTTGATGAATGATGGTTATATTATATTTTTCATAAGACTCTGATATTGTTGAAATTTATTTTCTGTGTTTTTATTCTTTATTATATTGTTAATAAATCGGTTAAGTTCAAAAGCTTTTATTGTCTTCAATGTCTGCACAACATGATATCTCAGGGAGCTTTTATTGCTACTACTGCTAAATGTTTAATTTTTTATAAACTTTAAACTTTGCTTAAGCATCATTTTGGTTATGGGCCACCAGCCCCTGAGTTATTTTTAGTGCAGACTTTTAAAGTTTAAAGTTAATTTAGGACTTAAGAGATTGGGGGGTGGTTTTTTTTTAAAAAATTCAAATATGGCTACTGTTAGTGTCATGCATAATATTGCTAAACTTGATGCATGTAATTATTTTACATGGTCCAAAGATATGAAGTTTGTCTTGAATGAAAAAAATGCATGGCTTTTGGTTCAAAGGTATTGAAAAATGTCCTGATTTAAATGATGTTAAGGGTATTACAAAAGAAATTATTGCCGACTATCAAAATAGAAGTCGATTGGCATTATCTTTAATTTATATGAATGTAAGCCCTGAATATAGAAACTTGATATGTGAAATTGATGACCCGGTAGTGGCATGGAATACGCTTGCCAAATACTTCCAGCCAGATTATCGGTCAAGA